GGTAGGGTAGCAGAAGAGGACAAAAAGGGAGTACCTCTGGGTAGGTGGAGCTAGTTTTATTTTTATTTTTTATTTGATGCCAGACTTCGTGCTGGCGTATGGACATCAGAGTCCAGTAGGGCGAAGGTTAGGTACCAGTCCAGTAGGCTTAGGTCTAGAGCCTGCAGCAGGGGGATATCAGACTGTAATGATGTTCCTGCCTAATGAAAGGGAACTGGTAGTCCGCGGAGGCAGCGCGGCCTGGAAGTCACCAGGCAAAGAGGCACCAGCCGGGTATTCAAGGGAGGCAGCGAAGAGCTCAGCCTCATTTTGCTCACGTGCATGTGTGGGCACACTACTGGAGCGCTCACCCAGCAAGTGGAGGTGGAGCTTGGTTCCCAGCTCAACTATGGTGGAGGTGACCAAGGCAGAGGTGGCGAAGGCATCCTTATGGAGGAGCAGTGAGGAGGAGGAAGGAGGAGAGTGAAGGAGGAAGTGCAATACCCCGCTCATATATGCCTATGTCGACGGCGAAGGGGGCCACCCACAGGCCACAAAATCGGCCTCAAGCCTGGCGCCGACCGAGGGGCACAGAACCCTTGGAATATTGAGACCCACGAGTCAAAGTCTTCACGGACCCAGCCCAGGCCACTGGTCAAACACACACACTTGGTGGTATGCAGGTATCCAGACAGCATTCGGTCCAAGTGGTGGTCTGTAACTGTACGAAATCCAGGCCGTCGGCTGTGAGTCAATCTGAGCCTCCATGGGTGAGGGACCAGAGGCAGCTCAACCTCGTCAACACTACTTGTTGACCCTGCCCCTGGGAGTCAACATTCAGTCTTGCCTTGCTGACATGACGCTGGCTTAACGCTGGCTAGACGCTGGCTTGACGCTGGCTGGACACTGGCACTGTGCGACGACGACGCGAGACTGCTGCACCGCGTGCTGGCACCTCCTTGCTGTGGCGCCAGCTGTCTTCTTGCGGACGAAGCACATGCCACGCTGTCTTCAACATTGCTGACATGCTGTGTGCCACGCTGTCTTCGATATTGCTGACGTGGCGTATGCCACATTGTCTTCATTGCTGATTGGGATGCGACAAGGAGGGAAATCGGGATCTGTGGATTGATTGAGTGAGAGAGAGAGGAGACTTACCTGTTGCTGATGTCAACATTGTGCGCTGTTGTGACGTCTTCATGAGAGTACTGTGCCTATGTGGCACTTCGTTGTGATCAGATCTTGTCATGCTCGTTTCTTGTACACTGTTTGCTGACGTGGAGGAGAGGAGAGGCCCGAAGAAGGAGAGGGGAACGAGGGGCTTCTATCCACGTGGACATTGATCGATACTTACTCTTCCACCCTCTAAGTCTATTCTCCCCCTCTCCTCCTTCGTCCTCTGGCTACGAGACATTGTATCACGGATCACATTTCATGATTATTGGAGACATTGATCAGCGCTGAGTTATCTTGTATTTCGACACTTGACGAGTTATCTCCAGATTGGGTTCATTACAGAAGCTTACCTGGGCTACAGTGGCCTGCATTTTCAGCTTCTTGGAAGGCCCCACGTGGAACTTTAAAGATAGACTCCGGGGGTGGATGCGGCATCGCACTAATAATGGGAGAGGCATGGTAGCCTTGCAGTGTCCTATGATCATCGGAGCTGGGCTCTGATGGTCCACCAGAGCCACCAGCTCAGCATAGATGTAAAAGGTGTAGGATGACTATGGTGGACTTCTTGAGTGACCGGCAGTAAGGGGAGGATTCGGACATTAATTCTGGCTCATTCATTCATTGTTGTTGTTATTATCATTAATGAGATGTTGAGAGGGAAGTTGGAGGAGGGAGTTGGTGGCGAGATGAGGGAGTAGTGACAGTGACTCTTGCTCGTGTTCGTCTTCTTCCATTCTCCAGTCTTCTTCGTCCCCTGTCTATTTCTCTTCCCAATCTCTTTCATTTCAGTTGCAAATGAATGGCATTGTCTTTCTTTGAATTTTGCACTGTGAGATAGCCAGGATCATAACATGCTGGAGGAATTAATATCAGAGATTTTTAAGTAACCTGTATGTTTGTCTTTATTCTGTGTTGTCACTTGCAATAGGACAGGGGAGATTATCAGGCATTGTCAGGTGCATGGAGCTCATACTTGTGAGGTGGTTCATGTCAGTAAGGATGGCAGCGTTTCTCTTCACCACCCAAGGAATTATCAGCCCAATCAACTTAGCTCTGGGTCGCTCACTAGTCCTCGTGTGCCTGGTGAGTGATGTTGACCTTGCCTGGGGTTCTTTTGCTTACTTCATGTCGCATACCAATGTGGTACAGGCCAGAACCAAGAACCCACCTCTCTCAGATAGAGCAAGATAGCACAGCGGAGTACTGGAATACCAATGACCAGACCCAATCAATGTCGAAATGCAGACTGGACATACATCATCATCATCATACGGTGTGAATGGCCTGGCGCCGCACACAGGGACGAAGGCGCCAGGCACGACTCATACACAGATGAGGAGGGAAAGAGACAAAGTAGAAGGGGGGAAGAGATGAGAATGTCGTCAACCCAAATGTCGCCGATATCAATCCCGAATAGTCCCCCCCCACAATGTCTCTGTCCAATGCCAAGTCTGAATCCCAATGTCGAAAAATCTCTCTCTCTCTCTCTCTCTCTCTCTCTCTCTCTCTCTCTCTCTCTCTCTCTCTCTCTCTCTCTCTCTCTCTCAACAGATACTGACCTGCGAAAGGTGGCAGTTTGATGCAGGTACGGACGTGCTGAAGACGAAGCTGGAGCGATGGCCACGCAGGTAAGTCTCAGGTAAGTTCCCTAGTCTCCATCACCATCTCTCCCTCCCTGCGCTACTCTTAACTCTATCAGTGCCCAGCACTGGAAGACTAGTCCTATCGTCGATTACTACTACTCTGATGTCATCCGAAGAGAGCCCCTACTCAATCCTCTACTGAATGCCTGACTGAGGCTGGACCCAGCTATATATAGCGCTGGGTCGGCCTCAGCTGCTGAGTCTTGGCGCCCAAACTGAGGCTGGGCCTCGAAAGGTTGGCGCCCAAACCGAGGCTGAGCCTCAATCGGCCAGGCACCTACTGAAACGGCGCGGCCTCTGCCTCAGGGTCTGGCACCAAAATGCGCGCCAGGTCCTGTGTCCGAAACGAGGCCTGCAAGGCCTCTAACTGGTACCGGTCGGCCTGGCCTAACCTACTGACCGTACGGGCCCTAATACGGGCGGAAACGACACAGGCCTAACTCTACTGACCCCTAGCCTACCTGGTCGGGCCCTGCTGGGCCAGTGTGGAACTGAGTATGGCACACCACACCTACCATGTATCTGTGTAGTCTCCTGTGTCCTGTGAGGTGTGGTGCTGCATGGTGCAGAAAAAAAATCTAAAACTGAGAGACGAACTAGGCTCCCAGGTTTGTCAAGGCCCAGTTACCCCATGGGGCACCTGGGACCGGGCAGCCCAGACGCACTTGCCAAAGTCACTCGGGCAAGCCAAAAAATAAGGTTTCTTTGTTTTTTTCCCTCCCTCCCTTGGAAACAGGTCCAGTGTCCCTTGCATCTGATACATACAATACACAGCCCTGTTCATGGTCAAGGGCCCCATGTGATTACTCCATGTAAAAGGATGTACTACTGCTCACCCCTTCTTTTGTTCGCTTGTCTAGTCTGATCTCTGAGAAAACTCAGAAAAGCCATCTTCTGCCCTGATTCAGATCCAAAAGATAGCTGACGAAAGATGACCCTATCTGGGTGGTCCCTCTCAGACCACTGTTGTGGGCTGCCGGAGCGGACAACAAGGTCCAATCAAAGTTGACCTCTGGAGCGGGAAACCGGGTTAATTTTTTTATTGAAACAAGGATTACCCATAGTTAACCTCCAGAGTTGGAAACGGGACACAGCATTGACTGGGATGAAAATAAGAATTAAAAATCCTCTCTAGAAAACTAGGGAGGATCAAGGATGAAGTCTTGTTGGTGGACAACATAGCTAGTAAACGGGGAAGAACAATCCTCACATCGAAGTGCTCAAAATTTTACAAACACGGCTCAGTGTGTCAAACTGCAACAGATGTTATGCAACGCAGATCCCTACACTTGTTAAAATGCAAGGAAGATGAGCAATAGCGAACTTCAGCAATCAAACAGCATCATATACATAAGACTAGATAGTCGTGACCTTGAACCAAAAGCAGAATTGCATCACAAGTTTCACCAAATAAGAGTACACCAAAAGCTCATAATTGACAATGCTGGAATAGTCTCATCATCATCATCAACGAAGAACCAATGTTGATATCCTATCTGGCGCTCGGCGCCCAGACTACAGATGGCAGATCCTATCTAGCCTAGACTACAATGCTGAATATGACGTCAACAGCTCTCCCGAAGTACAATGCCGCACGCTTCCAGCACCAGGTATGTCTCTCGAATCACTCACTACCTCGTTCCCCAACACACAGATGCCACTTGCACCCAAGGACCACCATGCGCCACACCCAGCCTACAGCAGCGCAGCTTGGCTATGGCTGCCTGCTCCTTCCAGCTCGCCCGTGAGCGCGTGAGTGCCAGCCAGCTTCAGCGCAGCATGCAGCCAGCACCCGAATCCCCAAAGTGTGGGCTGCCCCTTTCCTATATGGAAATGGCCAGCCTGCGTGCGTGCAGCCTGGCTGTGCTGGGCCTCGGCCCAGAAGCTTCCGGTAGGCCCGGGGCCACCGACAGTTACCTGTGCCCAACTACCCACAGTCTGAGTTGGGCCTATGCTGCGAATCTCGCCCAGGGCCTGAGGAGATCAGGGCCTGGGCGCTTCCAACCAACTGGCGCTGCGCAACTGCCTGCATTTTCTACAGTTGTGAAGTAGTCCAAAATAGGCCTCTTAGGGTCTGTCGGGCCTGCCTTCACTTAGGGCGGCCGACGCTGTTGCAAATAGGGGCCCAGTAGGGCATATCGAGGCCTTTGCCTGGCATTCCCTCCTCCATTCTTCGCTAGTCCTCTGAGAAGTTCAGTCTTCGATAATCTGGCGCTTGCCTTTCCGTAGAGACTTCACATAGTGAGTGACCACCTGTGGAGCGGTCTGCATCAGTTCCTCCCTTGTGAACCATTTGTCCCCCTTGTGAACCATCTGTCCTCCCTGGGGTCAGTGTGATGTCTGAACCGAACTCGGTACTGCAGCTTCGGTTTTGGAGGACGTCCTCTGCCGGTTGGTCTTGGAACTGGCATCTCTCTGTGATCAACAATGTCACCGATGTCGACCTCTCCATCTATGGTTGGGGGCAGCATAGAGCGACGAGAAGGAAACTGGTCAGTTTCTTTGAATGGTGCAAGCTTAGAAGCGTGAAAAACAGGGTAAGTACGTAAGTGACCAGGGATGTGAATAACATAAGAGGGCCCATCCGGTTCTTCCCCGACAACATCCAGAATCTCCCATGGTCCAAAGTAGTGTGGCATGAGCTTGCGGGAGATCCCGTGCTCCTGTCCCAGTTCTGAGGACTTGACCCAGACTCTCTCTCCTACCTGGAAAGTGGACGGGCGGCAGGGTTTGTTCTCAGACTCTATCATCGCCGCCTGTGCCTTGTGCATTTGTTCAACAGCCTGCTGCATCAGTTGCTCATATCGATAAGCAAACTCTAAAGTCCCTGGTGCAGTAGAGGGCTGGTTCTCAGGTGGTAAGAAATCCAAGGGCAGTCTAGGTCTAAAGGTTAATAGCATACTATTCGGGCTCACGCCCGTTGCGCTGTGGACCGCGTTGTTGTACAGGCTGGCTATTAGAGCAAGTTTCTCATCCCAGTCTACCTGATTTGGCTTGATGTAATGCCGCAGAAGGTGTTGTACAGTACGGTTCAACTGTTCTGCTTGTCCATGCGCCTCGGGATGGTTTCCTGACGTCATCTGCAGCTGCGTTCCCTGTTCTGCAGCTGCGGCTTTCCATAGTTCACTTGTGAATCGCACATCACGGTCACTGACTATAGACTTAGGCAATCCAAAATCTCTAACCCAGTTCTCTTTGAACATCTTAATCACATGCTCAGTCTTCGCTGTCTCTGACATTGCAACTAACATGGCGAACTTACTAAACCTATCCATCATAACAAAGATGTGTCTCATCCCGCTCTTGCTGGTGACCAGCGTATCCATGAAGTCCATGGACAGGCTCTCACCAGGCCTTTCCGGAATCGGAAGGGGCTTCAAAAGCCCAAAAGGAGCCTGTGTACGTAGCTTGTCCCTCTGACAGACTTGACAAGTTTCCACGTACAGCTTCACATCTCTCATCATCGTGGGCCACCAGAACCGCTGCAGCAGATTGGCTGCAGTCTTTTTGAAACCAAAATGTCATGTGGCATCATGACACTCGCCTAAAAATAAAATACGCAAAGACTCTCTATCTGGCACACACAAACGTTTATTCCCTGCCTTCTCAAGGAACAGCAATTTGTTGACCAACTCAAACTCGGCAGAAGTTGCTTTGTCCTTCGCCTTGAGTTTGCGTATGATCTCAGACATAAACCGGTCCTCGCGATAGGCTTCCACCATAGACTGCGTAACATTGTCCGCAAGCCCAAACTCAGTGATCAGCGCACCAGAGAAATCTGGTCTATGCGACATCGCATCAGCAACCTTGTTGTACTCGCCCTTAATGTACTGGGGCTCAAAGTCATACTGCTCTATGACTTCAATCCAACGCTTCAAAGCGTCAGAGAGCACAGGCTGGGTTCTCATCCACTTCAGGGTCTGGTGATCAATCCTGACGTAGAAGAACCTCCCAAGGAGATAGTCTCTCCAATGGGTGAGCGCCTTGTAGATCTCATAGAGTTCCTTCTCATAGGTGGATTTAGCCAACTTCTGAGAGGGCATCTTTTTAGACATGTACTCTACCGACCTCAACTTCTTCCCCTCCTGCAGCGCAAGTACGGCGCCTATGCCATATTGGCTAGCATCCGTAGTTACTACAAATGACTTGTCAGGATCAGGAAGTTTCAAGACCTCATGATGCGTCAACGCATGCTTCAGATGTCTGAAAGCAGCCTCGCATCTGTTTGTCTACTCCCATGGGGTGTCAAGGCGAGTCAGGTCAGTCAAAGGGGCGACAACTATGCTATAGTTCTTCACGAAATTGTGATAGTAGCTGGTCATCCCTAAGAAAGACCTCATCTCAGTCACAGACTGAGGACGCAGCCAGTCAGGAATGTTGGCCACCTTCTCGTCATCGGGCTTTAATCCCTCTGCGGAAATCTCATGACCCAAGTACAAGACATGGGTGCAGCCAAACTCGCACTTCTCATCGTTGATCTTGAACTTGTGTTGTCGCAGAAGACTCAAGACTTTGTCCAAGTGCGCAACGTGCTCCTCGGCAGTCTTGCTAAAAATAAGTGTGTCATCAAGGTACACGATGACAAACGTATCCAAGTAGTCATGACATATCTAATTCATAGCGTGTTGAAAGGTGCCAAGAGCATTGCAAAGGCCGAAAGGCATCACCACAAACTTATCAAAGAAAAGACTAGGACGTGACATTCCAAACGTAAGAAAAGACTTCGAGCGTTCCTAGTCCCTTCTTTCAAAGACAATCAGTGGTTGGTCAGACAAGACACTTTCAAATAAAAAAGACTCAGGTCAATGTAAGTTGACTTACCTTCTGAAATCGAACCATATATAATACATTCGTGCATACCGCCTATTCAGAATGAGTCGAGATAGGTCGACTTGACTTGCCATCCAACGGCGAGCCAACATGTGCTGACTCGGCTTCTAATAACATTTATCAACAAAAGGATAAAAGCATGATTTACTTGCATAGCGACGCTCAAATGACGTTTGACCAAAATATCTCCACTCTGCCTGCCAATTGGCTGGGCTGGCACAACTTTTCGACTCGATGAGATGCATTGCCAAGTTTTTTCATTCCGCCCCATACTGACTGCTAGTAAAGAAATGCTGACATCCCAACTTCCTAACAAAGTTAAGATGCTATTGCTCTAGTGATGATTGCACTTTCATTCTAACTTTGGTGTGAATGTCATCTGCAAGTAATCCAGCTACCACTATACAAGTCAGCGATCGACTTGAACAATCAAACAGTGGATGTCCCATTAAGGACGAGAATATGCTTTCAAATTTTGTTGATTGCCTTGTCCTCTTGGGCAATAATGATTCTTTCCGTCCCACGAATGATGAAGTACCCGTCTTCATCATAAGAATCTCTAAAGCGTTGCTCTAGTCGCAACTTCCTATCAACCCATCTCAACTTCCCTAGGTTTGCACTTCTTATGGTGCAAACCTATCCGCAAAGCTAGTGCCTACTCGCACTCCATCCAAGACTAGCAATTACACGAATTGGGCTTCTTCTGGCGCCAGTTCCCCATACGGCAGTGACTCCTAAGACAGCCACCAGAGGGGTATATTATGGCAGCTCCCCTTAACGCCAGACGTCAAGAAACTTAAGGCGCTTCTGTGAATAGGCGTATGTCCTTTCCCTAGGAGGTGGTCTGGGATACCCCTCGTCCTCGCCGAAGTGAACCTCGGATCTCAGAAGTCGGGCTGGCTCCACCACAACAACATGGTATGGGGCCTCATAAGCGGTCCACTCTAAGTCGATAGCAGGGCCGACCCTTAAGGCAACGAACCCCCGCCTCAGATGCCTCCTTGGGAAGGGAAAAACGTCTACCACGGCGGGCAAAATGATCCCTCGTCGCTTGACGTCAAGGGTAACTTAGACAAAAAAGGCGATCACAAAAGAGAAATTTATTCAGATAGACGGGCATAGACAAAGAGGGTCGTTCGGAAAAGAACGGGTATCCTCAGTAAAAATCTCTGTCCAATTGATTTCTTCTTCTTTGTGTGACCAAATTCCTTTTCGTCGTCTACTGGTTGTCCTTCTCTTCAACATGCATGCAAGCGAGAAATAGAAGACAACCATCCTTCATTAACAGGGATAGGTTCCTTTTTTTCAAGCATCCTTCTACCTATCTGCACACCAGGCCAAACAACAAGTTCAAAAGGAGACAATGCAATCCCAAACTCGTGTCAGACTTTCATTCACACGTGCAAACACACATTTCCTCTACCTTTTCAGTGAACATTCAAAGAACAGGGTCAAGCAAGTGTGGGTTCACACAGGTGTGAAGGGGTCTGAGTCAATAACTGACCAACTGACTGACTGACTGACCTTGAGTAAAGGTGATGTACGGCTCACTCAAGAAAACCGTATAAATTCTCGCCTTCAATTGAGAAACTCTCACAACAAGCCGTCAGCAAAGTGATCCACATCACTCCCTCGCGACGACCGCCTGCCACAATACAATCACTTCCCAATAATCTGACGACGTTTCAGCGTCGCCGTCACATCAACCGCACCACCACACCGTTGCCGTCAATACTAGAGCACGCTGTCACAAAATGTCCTTCACAGTCAAGGCAAAACGGGCAGTGCTTCCACGCCACCACCTAGAACGCACTGCCGCCGCCGCAAAAGTTCAGCAGCACTTCCGCGTTGCTGCCAAAAAATACCGTCGACACCGGAAGATTTCGGCACCACTTTCACGTCATCATGCCACCACCTAGAACGCACTGTCGCCGCCGCAAAAGTTCGGCAGCACTTCGGCGTTGCTGCCAAAAAATAGCGTCGACGTCGGAAGATTTCGGCAGCACTTTCGCGTCATTCACCAAAATCTCAGCGCCGCCGCCGCAAAAAATCGGCAGCGCTTCCGCATCACCGCCAAAAACCCACTACTGACATCAAGAAAATTCGGCAGCGCTTCCGCGCCGCTGCCAAAATCTCAGTGCCGCCGCCGCAAAAAATCGGCAGCGTTTCCACGTCACCGCCAAAATTTCGGTGCCGTCGTTGCCGTGCCGAGCGAACAGCATCTCCCCTGCGTTGCACCAAGTGCAGCGGCAGCTATGACTACCCTCACTCCCACGCTCCTTGCAAACCTCCAGCGCTTCTCTCTCTCTTCCCCTCGCTGAGATGGCGGCTATGACGGTGCTCCACAGCTATGGCCACCTCCAACAGTTCTCCCTTCTCTCTTGCAGACCTCCACTCAGCTCCTTCTCGCTCCACCAGTAGCTCCTCCTCCAACAGCCAGCATTCACCCAAGCGAAATGCTAGCAGCACCAGCCACAAATGAATGCTGGCTGGCTGGCTGCTGGCTGTTTTATAGCTGGCTGGAGGCTGAGGGCAGCTGCTTTGCCCCCAGCCAAAATTCGGAGTGAGCCCTGGCCCTTGATCTCATACGCTATCAAGGGGGTCGAGAAACTTGATGTTCCCCTAGGGGAACCAAGTTCCAGGCCTTGGTAAT